AAAAAGTGGTTTGAAAGAATTCGTCTAGTAAAACAAAAACCATTTAAACAATTCTATTAAATTAGACTTATTAAATATAGATAAAACTATACTTTTTATAAAAAGATCATTTAAATAACGCAACGCATTATAAGTGATAAGTATAACTAATAAAATTTGATAAATATAAGTTTATAAGTATAAATATTAGTCTTCTATATCGAATATACCGTATTTTATGTCTAGCTCCTCGTCATTTCAATCGTGAATATCGGGATTTACAGACTACATCCGCAAACACTCAATTCATTAGAACCAAATGGATCAGGAAAACAATCTTCTATTATTGAATAAAGAAATTCACCATTGATCTCCTAGCCAAAGCCTTTAAAAAAGGAAGATTTTGTAAGGGTTTGTGAGATCTTTTTAACAACAGACAAAATTTGTTCTAAATGTTTTGAAATTTAGAGCAATAATGACTGGTGGTAATTGCGCAGCATCTCGATAATTTTTTGAGAAAAGTAACCATCTAAGCTTAGCCAAGGTTGATATGTTATTGGACATATTTTTTAATTTATATGTAATGACTAAAGAACGCTCAATATTCTGAAGAGTAACCTGATATGGCATTGACTCAGTACCGCCTAACATTAATAATGCATACAGAATCATGTCATCTGCAACCATGAAAGACTTCCACCCGGGAGGCTGAATAAGTGCGAACTGGCATAAGTGCGAAGCGTTGCAAAAACTGGCATAAGTGTGAACTGGCATATATGCGAATTGGCATAAGTGCGCCAAAACATTTTGAAAACATTGGCATAAGTGCGCCTAAACATTTTGCAAACATTGGCATAAGTGCGAATTGGCAAAAGTGCAAACTGGCATAAGTGCGAAGCAGTTGCAAAAACTGGCACAAGTACGAACTGGTATAAGTACGAATTGGCATAAGTGCGCCGAACAAAAGTGCGAATTGGCATAAGTGCGAACTGATATAAGTGCGAAACAGTTACAAAAACTGGCATAAGTACAAACTGGCATAACTGCGAATTGGCATAAGTGCGCCAAATAAATTTGCAAACATTGGCATGCAAATTTATTTGGCGCACTTATGCCAAATCGCAGTTATGTCAATTTGCACTTATGCTAAAGCAAAATGGCATAAGTGCGAAATACTAATTTGCAATTATGCCAATATTTGAAATTTTATTCGGCGCACTTATGCCAATTCGCACTTATGCCAGTTTTTGTAACTGCTTTGCACTTATGTAAGTTTGCACTTATGCCAAATTTTGCAAATTTGTTCGGCGGACTTATGCCAATTTGCACAATATTCAGTCGTCCCTTCCACCATGTTAATTTCAATTTTTCACAGGAGAGGCCTGTCTGGTCACATCCTGTTAACGCATGGAAACCCAATAAAACTTTTGAACGTTTTTTTTTTTTTTTTTTTTTTTTTTTTTTTTTTTTTTTAATTTTACATTTGTTAGTCGTATTACAACTTGCCAAAAAAAATAAAATAAAAATAATGATGATAATAATAAACTTTCACAAATATAAAATAAGGTATCTGAAAGAAGATCAAAGGATCTTGTCGTCAGAACCTTAAATAAGTTCAAATAAGCATTAACAGTATCAAATTTTTACAAATTTCATATATATATAATCCAAATATATATTTTATAATCCAAAGAGAGATCACGCGGATCTACTCACTAATATTTTATATAAATGTATACGTGAAGTAAAGAATATAAAATCAGCAAAATAAGTAAGAATAAACTTTTTACAAATATAAATAAGAAAAGGCAAAGTTATTAATTTATATTATTAATAATAACATAATACGTCTTCTAATGAAAAAATTAGGGTTTTTAATTTACTTTTAAAAAAACGAAAAGTAATGGGTAGTTCGAAATCAAAATTGGGCAAAACAATTTTATTCCAAAGGTGTGGTGCCCGATAGACAATACAAAATTGATTGAAGTTCGTTTGACAGAAAGGTTCATTTAAAAAATCAGTATTTCTCAAATTGTATTTGTTGATGGGTTTTGGAGTAAAAATATCTTTGAAGACAGATTGAGACAAGTCATTTTTCCACATGTATACAAAGCATAAAACATTATATATATTTAGCTCGTATATATTTAAAATTCTCATTTCAATAAAATAATGTTTTGCGTGAGAAAAGCGATTTGCAAAGCAGATTAAACGGATAGCATGTTTCTGACGGCGATAAAGACGTTGCAACTTACTTTTTTCTGTACTACCCCAGGCGATATTAGCATAATTTAAATAACTGTGTATAAATGAATAATAAAGTTTGATTAAAATTTTCTTATTGAGGTAGATTCGTGCTTTATATAAAACTCCTATGTTTTTTGAAATTTTAGTGCTTATGTAGTCGATATGATGATTCCAAGTGATGTTTTCATCAAGGTAAACACCTAAAAATTTTGTTACGGAATCCCTTTTTATTTCATTTTGATCAATAAAAATTTTAGGTAAGTTTAATGGCAAATATCGTTTTTTGGAAAGCGAATGGAATAAGGTCCACTTTGTTTTATTAGAATTTAGAGTTAACTTATTACATTTAAACCAACTCGATACATGTATAAGCTCTTTGTTCATTGTTTTAAAAAGTTCAAAGATATCACTGTTAGAAAGAAATAAGTTAGTATCATCTGCAAACATAATACTTGTTAGTTTAGAGGCTTTATTTAAATCATTAATATAAATTAGGAAAAGGAGTGGACCAAGAATTGAGCCTTGTGGGACTCCACATGTTATAGAAAGACAATTGGTGTGATAACCGTCATTACTCGGAACAAATTGTTTACGATTTACTACTAATTTGCACGTTTGGAACCAAGTGCCTCAAAACAATTCTTGACACTGATATCGCGTTCTTCTGATCAATTTCCAGTTCGTAAGTTTGTTGCAAAAGGTATTTACAGTAAAATTTTAGCAACAATAATACGTCTGTATCAGGGGAGAAAACGTAGCATTCTGGAAACGAATTACATCTTGCAATATCAACGACATGGAACAAAAAAAGAGTGTTTGCCTCTTCGTGATCATGGCTTAGCAACTCAACATCAAAACTGTAGATATTTGTAACAGTTATAACATATGTAATTGAAAAATATATTCTTTGATCTTATTAGTGCATCATAAGTATATTTTGATGGATATATAGTTATGTCGCGCTTAGTTTCTATATTAGGTAACAAATGCTTTAATGACCAACTCCTAATATCTGCTTTATATATTACCTTTATTGTACCTTATATTATTTTCAGATGTTCGCTTCAATCTTATTATTGTTTTTTAAGACTGACTGATATAGCAATGAAATGAAAATCTTATTTCTTTGTAACCATTCGCAATAGTTATATAACAAAATGTTTGGCTACGTCCTAAAAAAAATTATAATGAACAATTTTTCTTTTAATGTTTAAATCTTAAATAATCATTTTGTTTAAATATTTTATTAAGTATTATGTCTTTTTAATATTGTTATTTTTAGAATAAAAAGATATTGCCTTCCATATTTTTATTTCAGCACTTTTGTGATCTCTGTTTACCAACACCATTCCGTCAATAATGATCACTCATTTGGTATTGCTTGTCATACTGTGGTTATGTACTACTGAGTGCTTTTCTTTTGATAACGAGTCTGATATATCTAATGTAGTATTTATCTGTGACATTTATGAAGACAGAGGTTTAAAATCCTCCATATCAATTTTTTATCTTTTGTATTATTTATATAATTCCAAAATATTAAGCTGGTGATGCTCAACACCCTTGCTTCATTAAAAAACAAAAAATCACTTGCTTTTTGAGTACCGTAAAACATTCGTAATAAAAAAATATCCCAATGAAAAAACTTAAATTTCCGTTGAAAGAACTTTCATTCATTGTATATAATAGGTAATTACTTTTAATAGAAAATTCATATCAATAACAACTCTTTCAACAAAATTCATCATAGATATATGAAGAGTGCATTTCCAAAAGTGTGTAAGTGCCAAAAAAAAATTTTCAGGAGGCAATAAAAACAGTTTTTTTTTTACACCGTTATGACGTGCACAAGTTAAAAAGCGCATTTAAGACACTATGAGCAGTATTATCGCTCCCATATTTTGAAAAATGAGAATCAGTGGCACTTACAACCTATCTAAACAGTAAACTAAAAATGAGGGACTTTGGCCTTACACCCTTTTAAAAATGCACTCTTTATATATCAAATCCGGAATGAAAGAAGCATTTTTTTCTTTTTATGCGAGTCTGTGAAATCTAGGACTGTGTTTTTATACATTCGTAAAGTGGTTTTTATATATTTTTTGTTCCGCTTGACAAGCTTTTTCGTATAACATATTTTTTAAATTAACAGTACATTTTTATTTGTTGACTGTCATGTAATAAGTTTGACGTCATGGTCTCCAAATGTACAAATTTTTTGGCACCCATTTTCTTCTTCTTAGTTTTAACCTAGAGAACAAGTTAGAAGGAAAAAGTTGCTTCTTAATCTTAACATAGCAGCCTTCACTATATATAAAAAAAATAAAAGACGTCACTTAAAAACTATTTTACAAAAAATTTATTTATAAAATTAATTTGATTGAACTCAAAGTGATTGAGAAAACTACTTTTAATTACTGTAAAAAAGCTCTGTTAATTAGCAAAATGTTAATTAATTGGCAATTAATAGGTTAGAGTGATTTTATTTTTTATTTTTCAAATATAACACAATAAATTTAATATAAGAAAAAAATTATTATATTTTATATATTTATATATATACTAATATATAAAAATAAATGCAAATATATTTATATATATTAAATAAATGTAATATATAATTAATATATAGTTGGATAGCTCCACCCATGTAAACTAATTTTATTGGAATATACATTTTACAATATATACTAATAAAAATGTATATATATTTTAATTTTTATTCAAGTAATCTAAAAAAAATACTGTCACCTATCTCATAAAATAAGAAAATGTAAGCGCATTTTGTAATAATATTGAAATAAATCTTTATTTTTGTGGCAAATATATTTTTTCAGCTTCCACTAATTCTTTATCGTTCTGAAGTCGAAAAATTTCTTTGACTGGTACAACCTGAAAAAAAAAAGAAGTAACATTTTTATTTTTTAAGTAAATTGTAGCACAATTATATATATATATATATATATATATATATATATATATATATATATATATATATATATATATATATATATATATATATATATATATATATATATATATATATATATATATATATATATATATATATTATATATATATATATATATATATATGACGTTACATTATTTAAATTAAATTTATTTGAGAAAAAGAAAAGTTTAAGTTTGTGAAAACATTTGCTAAGAAAGTTATAAAAGTTCTATTAGGGTTAGCAAAGAAAAAACATTAAATATGTTTTAATGAAAAGAAATCGTTAGTTCATTATTTTAATGTTTTAATGATGCGAAAACATGAATTTATATTTTATTAAAACGAATGAAACAATGAAAAAAATGAAAGCTTATGAACTCTTTCAAATAAATTCGATGTGATAATAAAAAAAAATTGACTGTAGTATTATGTTTATTTATTATTTTAGTTATTAGTATTAACTAAAACATTAAGTCCAAAAAAAAAATCATTTAATAAGAATCATATAATAAGAATGTTTTATGTCAGAAGACTTTTGTAATTACTTAGCTAGTTACCTACACACTTCTGCAAGTTGAATTTTAAAAAACTAACGCCGCTTTATTTTCAACTAAATTTAAAGAAGTATTTTTTTGCAAGGATTTCTTGAGACCTTTTAACTCGTGATTAACACATATTGTTTTACATCTGAGAAATGGCACTGGAATTAAGAAGCAATAAAAAAAGTATTTAACTAGTTGGTGACGTGAATTATCAAATAAAAGGCGCAAAGTTACCGTCTAACCGCCAAGTTCTTAGAGTACTTTTTTTTAACATTCGCAAAGTTAAATTGACTGTTAGTAAAAGCGCAAATCTCATCATTCAAGAGTATATTATATTTTGGGAAAAAGCTAGAATCCCTTCAAGAGCTTTACCAAACTGAATAAAAAAACATGTAGATCTTCACCATGCTTGGAGAAAGTTGCAAAAAAATTTCAAAAACAAAAACAAAATGTGTACAAGCAACGCGAAGAGGTCTATCGAAATTCTGATGCTTTGGAACGGATAAAAATAAAAGAATATATTTTTACAAAAACAACAAGAACCAGGACGTCCAGGGTGTTTAGTGGGTGTAGACAAAAAATTATCTGAAAAAGAAGACAGGGTAAGAAAGAAAATTAAAAGAAGAAAAAAAGACATAAGCAAATGCGTTTCGGGAGTTTATTGTTATCTCTTAAAACTCAAAATTTTATACAAACACAAGAAAATTACGATCAACACAACAGCACCAATGAAACCCTTAAAGAATCCTTACCGTCAATCTCTCAAATTGTAAATTCTGAAACTACTACAAAAAGAGGAAGGAAAAATTTTATTACACCTAAGATAGTTGCAGCTTTAGATAGATGTCAGTTAAGCATACAGGATTCTGTCTATATACTTCAGGCTATATACTTCAGGCTATAGTACTTCTACTTTTAGTAGAAGCACTTGATCTGAGCTGTGATGATATTTCAATAAATCGTCCATTCAACACATTCGCACACAAAGTAGAAAAGATAGAGCGGAATGTATAAAGTCAGATTTTAAGAATAATATACCAGAAAAACGTCAGGCAATTCTAATTTTATATGGGGAAAAAGAGCAACTGCTGGCTGTACTTAAACTGGAGAGCTCTTCCAGCCAAGATCAAGCTGAAGCTGTGTTAAACGCACTTTATGACTGGAAACTTGATGACAGGGTAAAAATAATGTGCTGTGACACAACAGTGTCTAATACAGGACCATTAAAAGGAGCTTGTGTACTTTTGGAACAAAAACTAGACAGGGAATTACTACTTTTTGCTTGCCGCCATCACATATACGAACTGGTTTTAAAATGTGTGTTTGAATCAAAAATCCACCAAGTCACAAGTAGCCCTGATATCCCAATGTTCAAAAAGTTTAGAGACAACTGGAAAACTATTGACCTGACTGTAATTAAAACAAACACCGATACCGTCAAACAACATTTTACTAATACAACAATTGAAGAATTGTTGACATTTTATAATCGATAACTGTAAAAAACTATTGTATCTGACAATTATCGGGAACTGATTGAACTATCTGTTATTTTCTTAAGAGGTGATAATGAGAAAAAAATTAAAATCAGACCTCATGGAGCAGTGTGAGGTGGATAGCTAAGGTTATTTACTCTTTAAAGATATGTGTTGCAATCCCAAATCAAAATTAACGCCAAGGAAAAACGATTATTTGAAGACATTTGTTTATTTAGTGGAGTTGTATATGTGAAGCCTTGGCTTGGATGTAGTCTGGTGGTGAAGGCGCCAAACCAAGATTTGTGCTTTTTAAAGAGGCTTAAGGAATACAAAGCTGTTGAAAAATCTATCTCTAAAGCACCCCTAAACAAGTTTTATCACTCTTTGATGATAAAGTTAATGAACAAACCAAGGAAAAAATAGTATTGAACATACAAAAAGAAAGTTTACTTAATTTTGGGAAGAGATACATTCCATTGACAGAAGAAGATATGTCTGGTTATTTGTATGGTAGGTAGGAGTACATAGTATTTTTTTCTATAATATTTTTACTGAACTAATAATAAAACTGTCTTATTATTTGTTGCAGGAAAATTATTAAGTGATTTTGCGTTTGTCAAAAGCACAAATTTATTCTCTCTATTAAAAATTAAGAAGAACTTCCTTCAGAAACCTGTTTCAATGTGGGGTGAAGATGATGCCTATAAAGAGGCAAAAATAAAAGTTCTTTCTTTAAGAGCAGTTAATGATGCAGCTGAAAGAGCAGTAAAACTCATTCAAGATTTTCATGTTTTGATCACAATTTTTGTTATGCTGTGTGCAAGAGCATAGAAATCTGTATCCAGACTGTAAAAAAGAGACCCTTAAAGGAAAATATTCTGCCTGATGTGTAACTTTATATTTTTTTAACAAATATTTTAGAAAATATAAATGTTTCAATCGATTTAACTACATTAAGTGTATTTAAAAAAAAAAAATTTCAATATAAAATATAAAAAATATATAAAAAATATAAAAAAAAAACGATTACAAAAAAAAAATTCCAAAAATATTGACATATACCTTGAACTCAAGCGACAAAATACCTTAAAAATGCTCCAAAAGGTAAATTTTTCATAATTTATGCAAAAAAAAAAAAAAAAAAAAAAAAAAAATTTATTTTATTGCGTATTTGCGCAAAATTCTTTTTTTTTGCTAAATTTCTTTTTAATTTAAGCAACAATTATGAAAAAACTAGGATACACAACAATCTAAACGAAACCTTAGGCCATTATGATCACATTAGAAAAAAAAAAATTTTTAATATTAATATTTATCTTGCGCTCAAAACCAAATAATTTAGAAACAATTTAGGGCATTTTTCGGGGTATTTTTTCACTTGAGCCCAAGATAAATGTCAATATTTTTAGAATTTTTTTTTTGTAGTTGTATTTTTTTAATATATATTTGCTTTAAAATATGACTTCTCATGTATTCGCATCTTGAAAATTATATTTTTTTAAATCCCCTAAGCTACATAACGAAAAGGGTTAAAAACAGCAATTTTTAATATCTTCAGAGTTCTGTTGGCATGCATTAATGTTGTCGTACAAGAAAATAGAAATAGGGGGTATGCATTTCGATATCCCAAAAAGATAAATTTTCACTCCTATAAGGGACACCCTAATATATATATATAAATATACATATACATATACATACATATATATATATATATATATATATATATATATATATATATATATATATATATATATATATATATATATATATATATATATATATATATATATATTCAGCCAGGAACATATATGTTAAGGTGTCCCAAAAATATATAATAAATTGAATTTTATTGTGGTGAATAATGCTAAGGCATTAGTTTCTAGCTCAAGCCAAAGTTTATTTAGGTAAATTTGCCTTCATTTTAATAAATAAAATTTGACTTTAAATTGATTTTAATTTAAGTCAACTTTTATGTTTCTGACAAAGAATGAATGAATGAAAGAATGGCAAATAAATGAAAATGAAAAATAATGTGTGTTTGAAAAACAATAAAAAATGATGATACATAAATTTAACATAATATTTCATTAACGTAAAAATCAAGTTTAAAAGTTGTTTTCAAGAATTTTTTATGTCAGTTTCAATATTTTTTCATTATTAGTTGTATACTATCAATTTAATTCAATGAAGTGCAATTAATTGCACTTCATTGAATGAAGTGCAATTAATTGCACTTCATTGAATGAAGTGCAATTAATTGCACTTCATGCATGTAACTATTTGGATTTTATAAATGAAATAAGTTGATTTTAGAAAATGCCTCTAGACATACATTGTCACACTAACCCACTGAGAACAGATAATGGTAATAGTAATTAGTAATTAACTAACAAAAGCATTAAATTTATTAAATGTTAACTTTTTAATGTTTTTTTTTTTGAAATTTTTTAGCACCACACAGATCAATATCAAAATTGGTTATCCAGTTACTTCAAGAAAAACGTGTTTAAAAAGCTACAGGTTTGCTAATGGAATGTGCAGGAAAAACAAAGCAGATAGTTACTGGTGTCTGTATTCTGAGGGAGCATATAAGTTTATGGGAACAGGCTGGGTTTGAAATTGAGACCAAGCAATCTATTGAGACAAGAATCACCAAGAAAGTCATAGAATACCGCAATTTAAAAATGCTAAAAACACTAGAACTAACAGATGGCAGCTACAAAAAGAAAATAAACAGTTTTTGAAAGAGAGCAGGGCTCTCTTTATTCATAAAATAAACATATATAATTTAATAAAAAAGGAATAAAAATAGGAATGATGAGGCTAAGAGGGAAGACATAAAATATTTGAGGCATTATCTGAGAGTTGATATGGTCAAATTTGGAAACAAGGACAATAGATTTTGTGAAAATGCTCACAAGGAATAAGAAAAACTAATTAAAATGTCAGAGGAAATCCAAAGCTGTGAAGATAAAAATAAAAAAGAAAGTAACTATTCCGACAGTGACAAGGCTAGTGGAGTTGATATTGATAATATGTCAATATTGAGATCAACTCTAAACAGGAAAACCCATATGATGAAATTTCTTGCTAGAGCCATTTGTTGGTCCGACAAATGGCTCTAGCAAGAAGCTTTATGTAATTCTTTAAAAAATATGGTCGCAGATTTACAAATATGTAAACAAACTAAAGAGAAATATAAAGCTTGATTGGTCTCAAGTTGCTTTTAGACCTGGCTCAATACTTTTTAAACTTGCCTTGGATACTAAATGAGAGGATTGATATATATATATATATATATATATATATATATATATATATATATATATATATATATATATATATATCAAAAGGCTCTATCAAAATCTTCAAAAAGCTGTATCATTCAAGTTCATCAGAAGCTTGTGCTGTGAACTGAGTTAAATTGGCTTTACCAAAGAAAAGCAGATTATATCATCAAACATTAGAAGAAATGAACATCTCTTTGCCATTAGAGTTCTAACATCAAATGTATCAACGATTGGCTATTGAAAATGTATATATATATATATATATATATATATATATACATATATATATATATATATATATATATATATATATATATATATATATATATATATATATATATATATACATTTTCAATAGCCAATCGTTGATACATTTGATGTTAGAATTCTAATGGCAAAGAGATGTTCATTTCTTCTAATGTTTGATGATATAATCTGCTTTTCTTTGGTAAAACCAATTTAACTCAGTTCACAGCACAAGCTTCTGACGAACTATATATATATATTTATATATATATATATATATATATATATATATATATATATATATATATATATATATATATATATACATATATATATATATATATATATATATATATATATACACATATATATATATACATATATATATATATATATATATATATATATATATATATATATATATATATATATATATATATATATATATATATATATATATATATATATATATATATATATATTAGGGTGGGTCATAAATTTTTTTTTCTTGTTACAGACTCTAAACATTGCTAATAGTTATTAATATTGATACTATCAAATATGAGAATGATTGTGATAGATTTAAAAGGCGCAACTTTATTGGGAAAATTACCAGTACCCTAATATTTTGGAGAAAAGAAGTTTTTCAAAAGTAGGTCAAAAGTAGGTCTGGTATTCAAAAGAAGCGAAATTTTATAAAAAATTCAAAAATAATAATCGTTTCATAAAAACCATATTGCCAAAAAAAACTGTTATTAAAAAAAACATGTAAAAATGCACCTTTTTCACTTTTAGTCAAAAAAGTATAGTTATTATGCAATAAAATCTAAAATAATATTTTTTATATGAAAAAATTATTATTTTTGAAATTTAAATAAAATTTCGCTTTATTTGAGTACCTAAATCACATAATTTTGAAAACCTTTTTTTTTGAATAATAATAGGGCCTGCTAATTTTTGTAATTATAGTTGCGAGTGAAAGACATTGTTCAGTTCATAAAAGAAAATACTTTCCTAAATTAGTACATAAAAAAACAACTTTCTAGACCATAGCCAGGTTAGCAACTCTAAAAAAAAATTTTATGACCCAATCTAATATATATATATATATATATATATATATATATATATATATATATATATATATATATATATATATATATATATATATATATATATATTATCGGAATTAGGAAAAATGAGGTCACCAATGGCCTACTATAATTACACAACCTGATTTGTAGCATTTTCCGCAAAAAATTAGAAAGCCATTTTTTTATGGCTAGCGTTTGAAAGCTTGAGTTTTTATATTTGCATTATGAATGTTTTATTCATATTTTATTAAAATCAGAACAAATGAGGATTTTTTTAGTGTAATTACATTATGTTATACTGGATTTTTCGCTAAATGAAATCAAAGGTTTGTTCTTTTGTTTTTATTATAATTGCAACTAGCAGTAATAAAGAAATAGCTTTTTATTAGGAGCATTAATCGCTTGTCTTTTTTTTTTTTTGTCTAAATTATTTAACCTAATCTTTTTCTTTACTGAAACAGTTGTTTCTTTTTGAAAATTATTATAAAAGGTATTTATAACAATACGAGATATTTTATTCCCAATTCTTGGTGATTGCGACAAGTAAAATCAACACTGCTATAATAAATTTTAAAAATTTGTTTTGCAATTTTTTATTTGAAAAAGAATAACTGCAATGTTTTATTAAAATAGGATATATATTATCTAGAATACTAAAAAGATGACAAATAAAATTAGACAGAAGTAGACTTGGACATATGAGTCCACCTCTGGATAATATTTTCAGGTATTCATTATTAGGAATATCTTGGCCTGTAGAAACCATTTTTTCACTATTGCAAACTTTTAAAAGACTCACTAGAAATCTGCCACCACTCATTTGTCTATACTTATTAAATTGCTGTTCCTAAGGATCACTTTGTAACCTGGAAGTAAGAACATATGTATAGTCTTCAAGCAAATCATTGATAAGAAATGCAGTTGCTCATAGTGTTGTAATAAGAGCGAAAGAAGTTTGTTTGGTAAATGTAAAATAATCACACTTTGACCAATTATCAATCCAATTTGCAATTTCTCTATAAAATGTGGGTTTGTTATCACCTTTCACAGCTAGCAAGTGACCGGGGCTGAGTTTGTGACCAGGGCTGCATAAACAATTATATAAAGTATATTTTTTAATTCAAAATTCATGTTATATTTTGCATATATATGCCTATATAAACATCATCACGATCAACATGATCATTATCATGATCATCATTACCATCATGATCATCATTACCATCATGATCATCATCATCAGGCTTTAGCCTTTGCTGTTTCTCGAATATAAAAAATCTAGATAACTTTCTTTCTTTAACTAAACCTCATTCATACACTATATAAGACACTCTCTTCAAGTTTTATTACTTCTCTCATATAAATCATCATATATTTTATTACATCTCTTTTATAAACATGTCCTTATAAAAATGTGCTTTTATTGTTCCATTTTATTGTTTCATGTCTTATAAAAATGTCCTTTTATTATTCCGTTCTGGTTTTAAGCTCTGTTATTCTCAGTTTACTAAATCTTGTTTCTCATCTCAGATGTTTGGTTCTAGAGACCTTTAGTAAGTGTTTAGCAGTATTATTAACTAAAGTAAGCCTAACATTCAATCTCTAATTCATGGGTCTGATCTTATTCTAATTTAACTCTTGAATTAAATGGCCACACTCCCGCCAGTTCAACAGATCAACCGATTGCTAAACATCAAAATCACTATGGCTTCAAATGGTATAGTTAATTCTCAATTAAACACTACTTCAGTTTGTTCTCCAGACAAGATTTCCATCACGGTCTCAAAAGTGTTCTCCAGAATTCTCTTCAATTTTTGCTAAATTTTTAAAAAGTACTAAATAACTGGTAACAATTTTTCAAAACTTTAGAAAACACTTTAACCTTTCCAACTATCCTACAATTGCAAAAATCTATTCTTTATGTTGTGAGATCGTCACCTGAAATGCATATAACAGGTTCATAGTTAAAAAAAAAAGAAATTATTAAAAATTAAGAAAGAGTTTATTACCAATCTGGATTTAAAGTTAGAGGTGTTGTTGCCGATAATTTAATTTCACTTGATACACTATTTTTTTTGTAACAAAACTTTTATAGCCTTAATTGCATTTATATCACCACTTTAAATATTTCTAAATAAACTAAAAGATGGTAAGGGCAATTATTCTAACAACAATTTATATGATCCCATTTCATGGTGCATATTTTTTCATATTTGATAAATCCTTGAAGGGTAAAAATATATGAAATCATCCAGACCATGACACCCTTATGTCTCAGAATTTGTTTATTTTTACACCACTTGCAGTCCATATCAAAAAAATAATAACTGCGAAAATTTTAGTTAAAAATACCAATGGGTTCCATAGATATTGTCACTTGAAATAATGCTGACTCAGCATTTTAGTGATTTTCTGAAGCGACTACAAAGCAACTTTGACATATAGTATCTTCATAATGGCTTGGGGAAATTTCCTAAAATTTGGTACTCTAATAGATTTTAACTTGAGGAATCCAAAAATAGCACTCTTAAGACTCGATTATCTCAAGAAATGCCTCATTTATCCAATTTTGTTCAAAATTATTGAGTTGTAAATTAGTGATTTTTGGAGGTAAAATTAAGACTGTGGCCCAAAATCCAGAGTAAAAATTTTAATTGTATATCATTATTTCATCTTAGGTCTACTGAAAAAAATTAGATTCATCAATTGTCTCTCTAATACATGATCAAAATTTGCATTTAAAAATGGTGTCTTTTTAGAAAAATTTAATTTTTGTAACAAAAGCAATTAAAATATTTTTTAAAACATTTATTTGAATAAAACATCAAATAGTGTCATTTATTGAATAGTTTAGGACATTTATAGTCATGGGCCAAGGGAGATACCCTCCACTCCCACGGGAGGCCCCTACACCCCCTCCCCCTCTCCCCCTTTTTTTTTTTTTTTTTTTTTTTTTTTTTTTTTTTTTTTTTTTTTTTTTTTTTTTTTTTTTTTTGCATAAAATGAATAAATAATGCAAAAACAATTTAATTTTAATTTTGAAAAAAAAAATTTCATTATTACAAATTGGTGACTTAAAACCTCCTTTTATATAAAAAACAAACATAAGTTTTGTTTTGTTCTTTTTAAAGGTATTTACTTGTTTGTATTTTCTTAAAGAATTACTTTTAATTTTATAGTTTTTATATTATTTTGTTAGGTAATAAATAATAAAAATAATTAATATGGAGAAATGTGACATTGGAAAAAGCCTTAACATTCATTGCCACAAAACTGGATTTTCAAGAAAACAAGGTTTTGTTCAATTTAAAGATCTTCCTTTTGAAAAACAAGAAGAAATAATATGGCGAGCAAATTTAAAGGAAAAATATAGTTCAATAAGAATTATATGTTGTTATCATGAGCAATTCTATGGAAAATATCTTGAGAGAAAAATTACAAAGTGTTGCAATCCTTTTGGAACACACAAGGAAAGTAAAAAAATTGCTATAAAAGGTAATCTTACCTTATTTACAACAGAATTGATATGGAAATTAAAAGAAAACAATTTATTATTTATAAAAAGTTTTATAATTTCAGTTATTTTAACCACGTAAAACTAAATTTGTTTTTTAGGTAATATAAAGATTTCCATAGACATGGCAAACTATTTGCAAAAAAATAATGTTTATGTAACCCCAGGTTGGAAATTCTGCAGTAAATGTTACAAAAAAGCAATAGAAACTGATGAAGATTTAAATTCACAGGAGGAATGGGAATCAAAAAGTGAGAAAAAAATTAAGTTAGATACCACTATAGAATTGCTTGGAATCTCACCGGTCAAACTAAAAAGTCTTTCAAAACACAGCAAATTGCCTGTAGCAAAACAAAAGTTTGAGAACACTATTGACAGAGTTGCAAAAATGGTCTCATTAGCATATAATATTAAAGAAACTTTTTTAACAACAGAAATAAAAAGCCCCATTTTAAACAACAACATTAACAATGACCATGATCTAGACATTTTAATGTATGAAATAAAAAACAAAATTTCAGAGACTGACTCTTATCGCCATAAGGTGCAAATGTTAACACTCGCACCAAAATCATGGACACGTAAAAAGATATCAAGCTACTTTGAAGTGTCTGAGTATCTTGTTCGAACAGCAAGAAAAGTTAAAAATGAGAATGGAATTCTATCATTACCTGGGAAAAAAACTGGAAACCCACTTTCACCAGAAACAGTTAATTTAGTGATTAACTTTTATCAAAGTGATGAATTTTCAAGAATGATGCTAGGAAAAAAAGATTATGTAAGTATTAAGAAAAACCAACATGTTCAAAAAAGATTATTGCTACTCAATCTTAATGAATTACATGTTGCATTTAAAAAAGACTACCCTAACGTCAAAGTCAGTTTGTCAAAGTTTTGTACTCTTAAACCTAAATGGTGTATTACAACTAATGCGTCAGGTACCCACAATGTATGTGTTTGCATACATCACCAAAATACAAAATTTCTCATTGATGCTATTAGGTGGAATAAAAGTTATAAAGATTTCATGGCATTGATTGTTTGCTCTCTTGAAAATGCAGAATGTATGTTGCATCGATGTAACCAATGTCCTGGTATTGAAGCGTTAAAAAGTTTTTTAGTGCAGGAGTTTATGGACCATGAGCATGAAGAAGATGTAGTATTTAAGCAATGGCAGAGTACAGATCGTACAACACTACTTTCACAGTCATTGCCACTAGATGAATTTATTGATTTATTATGTGACAGTATTGACAACCTTACCACTAATTCATATAATGCAAAAACACAAAGTAGATACTTAAAAAACTGTAAAGAAAATCTTAACCAAAACGAATGCTTAATTTTAGGAGATTTTGCTGAAAACTATCAATATGTTGTTCAGGATTAGGTTCAAAGTTATCACTGGAGCAAAAGTCAATGCTCACTTTATACAGTTGTACTTTATTTTATAGAGAACAAACTTCTCAAACATAAATTTTTTGTTACCTTTCAGAAGATGTTGATCATGACACAGGATTTATTTACAAGACTCAGGAAGATATAACTAGATATATCAAAGAAAATCTACCAGATGTATCAAGTGTGAAATACTTTTCTGATGGTTGTGCAGCACAATTTAAAAATTTTAAAAATTTTATCAATCTTTGTCATCACAGTAAAGACTTTGATTTAAATGCTGAATGAGTATTTTTTGCTACCAGTCATGGTAATCCCCCTGTGATGGTATTGGTGGGACTGTTAAAAGAGTAGTATGTCAAGAAAGTCTAAAACAAATAACTACTGGGCAGGTTTTAGATGTTAATTTAATGTACTCCTTTTGTAAAGCCAAGATAAATGGAATTTATTTTAAGTTATTTTCAAAAGAAGAAATTGAAAAACACTATAAGTTATAAAAAAATAAGTATTGATGCATGCACTGAAATATTTGATATCATTCCAAAAAGCAAACATTATGTAGATATTTCATTAAATATTAAAAAAATGGATTATATTGCATGTTTTTATGATGGATTTTGGTGGGTAGAGATTGCTGAAGATGTAAGTGGGCTTGATATAAAAGTCAGATTCATGCATCCACATGGACCAGGTAAAAACTTCTTTTGGCCAATAAGAACTGATGAGTGTTGGGTGCTCAATTCTGAAGTTATATGCCTAATTTCTACACCCACAACAATATCAGGTCGTACATACAACATAACTGATTTAGATTTGGAGAAAATAAACTGTTGGTTACAAAAAAAAATTAATTATGCTTAAAATAATTTTTTTTATATTTTACTTACCTAATTTGCATTTTAAAAGTCTTTTATTTTTTTCAAATCCTTGGATTGTAGGCTGAGAAAGAGGGGTGGGGGTTTAAATAAATCACAAATCACTCCCATCTTATTATGTCAATGACTATATTAGTCTAAAACTACATAAAGATATTTATTGTCAATATGTTTTAAAAACATTTTAAAACATTTGTTTTTGAAATTTATGACTTAAAATCGTAAAAAGATCTTTGAAATAAGAGGTAAGTATTTATCGATTTGAAGTAACGCAAATAAATCGTTTCTCAAACTTAAACTGAAAAAATATGTTTTTAAAATGTATTTTAACAATCAACTATTATTTATTCATTTTGAGTAAAAAAAAAAAAAAATCTAGGGAGATATGGAGAGGGGCGGAGGGGCCTCCCGTGGGTAGGGAGGGCATCTCCCTTGGCCCATGACTTTAAATGTTTATTTAAATTTAAACTAGTCAATAAATAACACTATTTGGTGTTTTATTCAAATAAATGTTTAAAAAAATATTTTAATTGCTTTTGTTACAAAATTTAAATTTTTCTAAAAAAACACCATTTTTAAATGCAAATTTTGATCATGTAGAGAGACAATTGATGAATCTAATTTTTTTCAGTAGACCTAAAATGAAATAATGATATACAATTAAAATTTTTATTCGGGATTTTGGGCGACAGTCTTTATTTTACCTCCAAAAATCACTAACTTACAAGTCAATAATTTTGAACAAAATTGGATAAATAAGGCATTTCTTGAGATAATCGAGTCTTAAGAGTGCTATTTTTGGATTCCTTAAGTTAAAATCTATTAGAGTACCAAATTTTAGGAAATTTCCCCAAGCCATTATGAAGATACTATATGTCAAAGTTGCTTTGTAGTCGCTTCAGAAGATCACTAATATATATATATATATATATATATATATATATATATATATATATATATATATATATATATATATATATATATATAAACAATTTTAAAATGTATTCTACAAAATAGAGTGCTCAATGTTCTTAAAAGAACAGAGCAATTAACAAAAATTAACAAAACTTCAATTTATACCAAAAAATTCTTTTACAGGAAATCAAAAATGTCATAACTACTGTAAATTTTCACACATTTGTAGAATATGCTGACACTATTATAAAAAGAATTCTTTAGAATTGATTACTTCTGTTGTTTTTTAAAAATATTTTTCAAAAGGAGGGATTTAATGTATTTATTATTTGAGCTCACTTATTTTTATAGTTTTTTAGGAGAAACTTATTTTTGCGCCTGCATTTAGAAATTAATTCCAATTTTTTGTTTAATAAACATTCTTGGTTTGCATATGTAATAATTTCAAATTTTTCTTGTAGGCATAGTATGCATTTTTTGGAAATATTGTTATATGCAGGTGGTGTTTTAAGGATGGTCCATTTCCTTATAAAATCATCAATATTTTTATCTTTTAATTGCTACAAGCTTAAATGAACATTATCTTTAAGCTTGTAGCATCAACTTATGCGTAAAAGTAGGTATACTACTTATGTGCAAAAAAATCAAGGGATAGAGTATAGCTCAGCTTAAAAATTTATTTGTCAAAATATTCACTAACCTTGCTTTCAACATTAACAAGGGATTGGTCATTATAAATAGTATTGCACGTGTCTTGCATAGCTTTTATGGATGCACGAATATTATGGTTAGCCCATATGACCATGGATACCCCCCACTCACGAAACTCGTTTGTTGGTGTTGTATAGTAATTTGTTGGAACAATCACAACAGGAATCTAAATAAAAATTCATAAACAAAATACTATTTACTTTCATTACTTAAAATTTTTTTTAAATGAAACTGGTATAAAATTTTATATACTTTATTTTTCCATTCCTTCATAAAAGCTTTAATTTCTGAAGGGTCTTTTTTCTTACTGTGCATCAATATAGCATCTGCACCAGCATCTGCATAAGCATGTGATCTCTTTAATGCTTCTTCTAATCCCCAGCCAGCTATAAAAGCCTCAACACGAGCAACAATGCAGAAATCAGGATCTCGTTGGCTATCTTTGAAAAATTATGGATGTTGATTTAATGCTAAAAATGAAATTCTTTTACCCCCAAGAAAAAAAATATATATATATTTACATATATGTATACGTGTTAATAATACCTTTGCATGCTTTAATTTTTAAAGCAAACTCCTCCATATCTGCTAATGGCTGAGCTCGTCCATCTAATAAAGAGTTTGTTTTTGGAAACAATTTGTCTTCAAGACATGCTCCAGCTACACCTCGCTGTTCTAATTTTCGCACTAACCTTCTAGCATTGTTAAAATTACCATAACCAGTATCAGCATCTAGTAATATAGGAAGTGATGATGCATCTGTCATATATTCTAACTGGTCTAACACTTGTGTCCATGATGCTTCATTACTATCACGCACTCCCATTGACGCAGAAATAGATAATCCACTACCCCAAATGCCTTTAAAGCCTAAAAATTAAATAAATCACAGTATTTTGTGGACATCTACATTTTTGCAGAAGCATTCTTTTTCAGATCAAACAAATATATAAAATTTGGTTGTTTAAAAAAACACAAATCAACTACCAGCTTCTTCTACAATTTTTGCAGCTAACCCTGTGTGTGCTTCCATTATAAATTCAAGTTCGTTTGAATGCAGCATTTGCTTAAGAAGCGTTGTCCGCTAAAACAAATTGAAAAAAGTAGTTAGAATTTAGTTTTAGAATTAATTAGTAGTTAGTTAGTTAGCAGTTTGAAGTATTTAGAATTAGTTGAAATAAGTAGTTAAAAAGCTAGATATTTTTAAAGAGATAGTAAATTAATAGCTCAAAATTCAAGTAACAAACCTTTGAAAGAGTTGAGGATGTTGAAAAATATTTTAAAGATATTGATGCCATTTGGTTATTTAAAATGCATTTTTTTAGAATAAAACTCATTTTTTTAAATGAAAGATGGAAAAGAAACAAATTATGCTGGCTAACGTTAAATATCACAGATATTTCACAAACGATTGCCTAATAGTTAATCAGGAAATAGCGATTTTATGTTATTACTGTGAGCATATAATACAATTGATTAACAGACAAAAAATCGATTAACAGATTAAAGAAAGATAAAAAGAGATTAAAACAACTGTATTATTCCCTTTTATACACGGGGCGTAGCTAAAAGATGTTTTTATTTTTCTTGAGTTGTGATTCCGTTATTTTGATGTACAGTTTGAAATCAAAATTTGGAAAGTTATAATTTATTAACTTTAAACTATAATTTCAAAACAAGTTCTTTAATAAGTTTTCATTTAATTCTTTGTATAATTATAAGAATTTTATGAAAACTTTTAAAAGAACTAGTTTTAAATATTTTGTAAAACTGTAAAACAGAAGGCAGTGTGTTCTGTAAAATACAACTATGATTATCGTAAATTTCAGCGGGTGATTTTTATTTTTGCGTAACCTAAACACCAGTCGCGCTAAAGTGGAAATAATTTGTTGCAACAATCTCTAACAGCTTTTGTTTTTGACTAATATGTAACAACTCTCAGTTACTATTTTTGTTGAAATTTTTTTTTCTTTTAGGTGCCCCAAGAAGACGCGACGGTCTTGTCATAGAGCATCGTGGAAGAGCATTTAATGGCGCACATGTCCAGAGCTCGCTTTAAACCCAGGATCTCTAGTTTCTAAACCAAGCACTACTTTTGGCAACTTTTGGTTTTTGGACTTTTTTTTGAATTTCGGACACTAAAATATATTTTGTTATAGTTTTAGATATGGTTTCATCAAATCTGCATTGATAGTCTGATCCAGACTATCAATGCAGCTTTCAGAACCTCAACCATTTAATCAAAGATAACTAAATGACTACTCAAAAGTTTCGAACTTACAAAAAGAAGCTTTTAAAACTTTAGCACCTTGTTTAAAAGAAAAAAGTTGCTTACTCAGAAAATCAAGATTACTTTTATCAACCCGCAAAAATATATGCTAGAGTTTTTTTCTCAAGAGAAGGATTTAGTGTTATGTAAGGATGTTGGTGGTAGCTTGCAACAATCGGTTTAAAAATATTACCAACCTAGTGGTTGGTATTTATAAACGCCAGTCACTCGGTTGGATTGATTGACGTCAATTTATAGACGCCAAATGGTCTTAAAGAAACTAAGAATTTTTAACTTCTTTAAGATCAACAAGTGGGGCTCACAAAGTTTCCTTTTTTAATTGTCTTCGGGAAAGTCCCAACAAGCAACACCATTGGTCACAGAAATTTTAAACAGTGAAAGAAGAGCTGAAAATTGGTGCAAAAAATGCTATAAATGTGTCTTTATTTAGCCAGGACCGCCACTTTATATTATACTCGACATAATTAACCAGTTTGTGAAAGCGTATAACAAAAGTCACAAAAGTTTTGATTTTCTTTCTCACATGTTTCTAAGATTAACTACAAAAAAAGTAAGATTAACTACTTTATTTTTGATAGACCATAGACTAGAAACCTCTTGAAAGATCCTTATTTTGCGAATCAATGAATGAAGTCGAATCCAAACCTTGGAACTAAGTTTTTTTTGGTTAAGAGAAATTTTCTAGGCAATAAGAAATTTGACGACCATGTGGAGCTTGTTAAATCCATGTTATCAAACTTAAATTAGTTGGGTGCAGCATGAGAATAAAAATCTATTACCTGCACTTGCATTGAGACTTAACTCCACAAAATTTGGGCAAATTTAAGAAAGAGACATACTAAAAGATTTCAATAGAATATTCGTACAATGGAAGAGTGTTATCAGGCAGAATACTGTTCGAGTTTGGAACAAGATCTACCTAAAGTTATTCGTTCAAGAAAATCTTATAAATGATCATTTGATTGTATTGAATAAAAATTTTGTAAATATATGTTTACATTTTCTTGTAATGTTTAGTCAAAATAGACAAACTCTATATTTTAAAAGTAAAGCTTTTAGCAATCTCAAAATACTTTTTTCATTCTCAGGGACATTGGAATACCCAAATTGGAAGTGTCATATTTACTGTGTTAACTTACCAACTTACTATATATTTATGTTTGTTTTCAGTGTAAACCTCTGGTGCGATGTTCACTCACCAATAAGTTTCTATATTTATATTTTTTTTATGTTCTATCTGATCCTCTGGTGCGGTTTTTGTTCTCCCATTAGTTATTATATTTTTGTTTGTGTTTTACTTAAATCTCTGATGCAGCGTGAGCTTAGCTATCATCTTACTATAAAACTTATACTTTCTAGCTTTTCGTTAGTACAGGTTCAGGATTATCAAAATTACCCTGCTACTGGTATCATGTAACCCAGTATTTACCGTGCTGCCTTGTAAGATTTGCTTATTTTAAGCAAAGTCTAGGAGAAATAAAATCTAACTTAGAATTTCACTGTATTAGAGCTTTTGGATGAGTAAAGGCAGAGATGTCGTTTTGATAAAAATACTCATCTTGGGCAGATTCCTTGAACCCTTATTTAATATATTGGGCTAGCGTAGATCTAAAGCTTTATTACATTGCTAATAAAGCTTTACATCATACTGCCTAGGATAATGAATGCTGGATCTTCTTGATTCTACTCACAGAAATATAGTAGAAAATGTATCCTCATTAGATAATTTTAATGAGGGAGCAAAGCTGTACCCTCAATAGCATTATCTAATGAGGGTAAAGCTCTGAGTAGTTTATAGCTGAGTAAAATTATGATGAAAAATTCAGAGGCTTGTTTGCTCCTTTGTGGATAACTACTTGAAGGGATTTTTTTAATATTTTTCAGTATGTTTTACCAAAGCGTGTTTATAAAATGTTACATGTTTTACTTTTACAAACTAGTGTTTTAATTTGTATCACATCAGTTTAAATAACCCTTAAAACCATTCTTTATTGCTAAAATATTTGAAATAGGTTAATTAAAAACCACTTTTAGTTTTATTAAGATTTGATTTTTATGCATTATTGTAATTTGTGTTTTGTTATGTGCTGCATTTGTAATATCGTTAGTTGTGCTTTGAAAGTTTGAATAATAATAATTATTTCACCTTTAAAATGCCGTATTCAAGGCTTGTACACAGTCAAAGTAGGAGTAAAGTTTGTGAAATTAAGTGAAATACAAGAAGGAAGTGTAGTTTTATTGAGAATTAAAAAATATTTCATTGACAATATTAATTTAAGGTAGCAGATCCCCTTAAAAATAAAAAAAAAATTCAAATTTTTTATTTACTTGATTTTTATTCAAAATTTAACGAAGATTATTAATAAGAAAACAGTTTCTCATAATTCAATTTAGTTTTTTAGATATTTGTGTTTTAGTGGAACATAGTTTTTCAGGCTTTCCTATTTACCGCCATAGCAACGGGTTTGACTGTTGGTTTTGTAACTTTCTAATCAGCTTTTTGGAGGAAACTTCAGTCTTAAAAGAATCTTGTTTGCCTAATGTTTGTATCAGTGATCAAAACAACTTTAGGATAAACTCCACAGCTTGAACATTACAAATTAGAATCACAACTTTGACTATATTTGAAAGCTTCTAAAAGGCACTTTTACTTCAAATTTGTTTGTAATTTTTAAACAAATAAAATGACTCGCAGTACGATTAGAAAACGTAAATACAAGTTTAAAGAAAATCAGTACACATGCAATGATAAACAAAAAAATAGTTTACTTTCATCGCCAATTGCAAGCAACTTGCAATTGGCGATGAAGGTAAACTATTTTTTATACTTATATACTTGTACAACTTGCCAAAGTGCAAAAAAGTTATTTTCAAAAACGAAAACTACTCAAAATATTAAGTGTAACAATGAAAATTACAAGAACAATTATAACTTTATTATGAACTTTTCTATATTAAAAAGAATATTTAGTAAGAATGTTTTTTGTCCTGAATGTGGAAATAAAATTACTTTGCATGATAACATTGGGAAAAACATTGGGATATTGTTTACAACTTGAAATTTTTTGTAAAAGCTGTGATAAAATTATATACACATTTAAAACTTCAGCAATAATTAAAAGAAGTGCAGAAGTTAATACACAAGTTGTTGTTGCTTTTAGAGAAATAGGAAAAGGATATACTTCCATAGAATCATTTAATCAAAACAATGTAAAGGTTATAAAATTGGAACAAAAGAAAAAATGAACCTGGTTATAATAACTGGCAAAATAATCACATTTGTCTCAAAACCATATAAAATCTTCAGGATCAATGGAATCTGTGGGTGCTATTGAAATGTTTGGACGATCTGTGGAGAAGTATAAACTAAGGTATACATCTTATATAGGAGATAGAGATACATCTTCATACAATGATGTTAACAAATCTCAATCATATGAACCTAATGTTACTATTAATAAAAAAGAATGTGTCGGACATGTTCAAAAGCGTATGGGAACACGACTGCGAAACTTACGCCAATTAATGAAATTAAATATATTGTTGGATGGGGGGAAAATAATGGGTAAAGGACGATTAACTGATAAAGCTATAAATACTTTGCAGAATTATTATGGTACTGCCATAAGACAAAATCTTAACAGCATTTATGAAATGAAAAAGGGTATTTGGGCAACACTTTTCCATAACTCAGACATTCTTGGAAAAACTGAACGACATAAATTTTGTCTTCGAAACGTAAATAGCTGGTGCATTTGGCAGTCAAATAAACTAACAGGTAAATCAACTTACAAAACTAAATTAAATCTTCCATTAGCAATAAATGAAATTTTAAAACCCGTCTTTCAAGACTTGAGCAGAGATGAATTATTATCTAAATGTTTGCATGGACAGACACAAAATAATAATGAAGCAATTAACATTTGGAAAAAATGTCCTAAAGATGTTTATGTAAGTCGAAATATTCTTGAAGTAGCTATAGCATCTGCTGTTTTAGAGTTTAATGATGGAGCTAGTGGGATATATGAAGTTTTTCAGATAAAGACCGGTCGATTTATTTTAACTACAGATAAAGACCGGTCAATTTATGAACATAGGGACCATTAAAAAAAATAAGACTCGAATAGTTTATATGACAAAAAAGACTTCAACAGCAGGTATTAGCAGAAGAAAGTTACTAAGAGCTATGAAAAAAGGATTCATAGATAAAGAAAATGAAGAAAGAGCATTATATTCTGCTGGTGGTTTTT